TTATGTATGCTAAACTGATCTTCTGTATATAAAGAGAATTGAAAATGAATCTTGATGTGAATGGAAGGGGAGAGGGAGTGGGTAAGGGGAGGGTTGCGGGTGGGAGGGACGTTATGTGGGGGAAGCCATTGTAATCCATAAGCCGTACTTTGGAAATTTATATTCATTAAATAAAAGTTAAAAAAAAAGTCAGAGTTACACAGAGAGGAGAAAAAGAGAGAGAGAGAGAGAGAAAGAGAGAGAGAGAGGTTTTACATCTGATGGTTCACTCCCCAGCTGGCCGCAATGGCCGGAGCTGCGCTGATCCGAAGCCAGGAGCCAGGAACTTCCTCCGGGTCTCACATGTGGGTTCAGGGGCCCAAGGACTTGGGCCATCTTCCACTGCTTTCCCAGGCCACAGCAGAGAGCTGGACAAGAAGTAGAGCATCCGGGTTTCGAACCAGCACCCATATGGGATGCCGGCATTTCAGGCCAGGGCATTAACCCGCTCTGTCACAGCGCCAGCCCCATATTTGCAGTTTAAAATCAGGAAACTTGGATCATTAATAGTGTGTTCACATGATGATACTTAAAATTTGGGGTTAAGTAAAATGAACTATAAAACATAACAGCATGCCTACAAAAAGAATTATAATACTTGGATATTTTTCAATAGAATTGTTTAATGAAGAAACAATCAGTAGTCAGAAACATCTAGAAAAGATGATTTTTGATAAAGTATTTTTAAATTTACTTTTTATTTGAGAGGGAGAGTGTGAGGGAGGGGGGAAGGTAGGGAGTGAGGGGGTGAGAGAGAGAGAGAGGGATAGATCCCTGTTGCTGGTGCATTGCCCAAGTGTCTGTAATGGCTAGGCAGAGGCTGGGAGCCAGGCACTTAATCCAGACCTCTTTAATGGTGGCAGGGACTCACTCAGCTGCTGGAGCCATCATCTCTGCTTCCCAGGTTGAGTATTAACAGGAAGCTGCAATCTGAGCAGAACTGGGAGTTGCACTCAGGCACTTTTGACATGGGATGTCAGATCTCTTCACCACTAGTCCAAACCTCTGTCCCTAAGACGGTTTTTGAGTTAGATAATTTTTAATCTAAAATAAATAAATAAATATTTAAAATTTTCAAAGGAATCAAGGTTATATAATAAGAACTTCAGAGATTTATTTGCAAATAAGGTTTATAAACATTGCATTTCTTCATGTATGTGTTTCTTCTGTTTACTTCCTTTTTTGCTTTCTCTTTATTTTAATGTTATGTAAAGATCCACGTGTTCAATTTTGTTTGTTTTTACAGGCCATATGTTTTGAAAATATAGGTATCATGAGATATGAAGAGTTTATTTCCATGATATTCCATCTGGATTATACTGAACCACAGTCAGATGAGTACGTCACAGTGACTGATACTACATTTGTTGACATCCCAGTACGTCTGTACGTGCCGAAGAGAAAGTCAGAAACCCCAAGACGAGCTGTAATCTATATTCATGGTGGTGCTTTCTGTTTTGGAAGCTTCAGTAAGTTCATTATATAAGGAAAAAGTATAACTCATTGTGTTTTTGATACAGGAAACATTTTATATAAATATACATGCTTAAACATGCATACACTATGTTCATGTGGACACATTTAAATATGATTATAAATATTATAATTCTAAGGGAAACATAATCATGCACATAAATATAATTTGCCAGTATCATGAAGATTTTGAATATACTTTTGTTTTGTTCAGCATTTTATTCTGTGCTTTCATATTGAATAAACATGCTCATATATCAAAGGAAAATAAGGCATGAACAAGTCAGTTACTAAAACATTTTTCTTTTTAATCATAATATATTGATAAATAAGGGCACTGAAGTGATACAGATGTTTTAAAAATCAAATAAGAAATATATTAGTTACTACAAAGGGAATTTTGCATTTACTAATAACAATAATATTAATGGTGGCTGTTTAGAATGCTGTGGCTCGTCTTGAATCTAAGAGGAAAAAACAAAGTAGAGTATCACAATAATAGACCCTTCCCGTGAAGTGTAGGGTGTCTGCTTGCCTCCAGTGATGATTCTACAAGACTATGTTGCAAAATAAAAAAAAATCAATAAAATTATCCTTATTAAAACTTTGGAGAATTCAGTCATAGAGTGATGCTTGCATATAGGCCACTGTTTTATCTAAGAAAATAATAAAATTAAACAAATAAATGGAATTGAGGAAGGTCAACAAATAATAAATGAAACTGAATTGAAGTCACTCTGTATTTCTCTAAGTCTCATTTAGTTAAAAATTGCTTGATAATCTCATAAAGATATGGGTACTATAGCAAGCTGTACTTAATCAAATATTAGTGTAGAATAGATTAATGTACAAAATGCCAAATTGGTTAGGCTGCAATTCTGGCTTTCTAGTTTTCTCCTACCCAGTTTTCTAACAGCTAACATGAAAAACAAATATAATCAATTATAGAGCACATTTATGTCCTTTGCTTGGTTTGGTTTGTACAGTCCTGAAACAAATTAGAATCATGTTACACTTGCCAGACTATTTTATCCGTTACCACTCAAAGTTCACAGAATAGGAAGGTAGAAAGCAATACAAGAACAATTACCAGGCAAAGGGAGAATGCCAGGAGGAAATAGGGATGCTACTCTATCTCACATATATTTTATTTTTTAGAGTCCTCAAAGCAAAAAAACAAAGTAAAACAAAACAAGCAAACCCAAATAACAAGAAAATGTAAAAGTAGATAGATTCTAAGACTGAAATAAGAAATTCAGCTCTTTGTTACAAAAAGACTTTCTACTACATGAAGAGCATCTTAAAACACCCTTACAATGACCTATTAATTTTTATGATAATCCTCATAAGTACAGGCTAACAGATTGACACAAAAACATGTAGTTAGTGAAAGCAGTTCTAGGCGTAGATAATATGATGCAGTAAAGATAAAGACCCTCTTTGGGACATGCACTTGAAAGGTGAATTTTATAATATCTAGAGAAGTGTGTGTTCTGCTGTGTTCTGTATATCTTGAGGAAATCCTCATTAAAAGAGTTTTCCTTTTGAACACCTCTGAAGGAAACCGAGAAAGTGAATTCTATAGCACATACTGTGACAAGGAAGGGGAGATCAGTCATCTCCAGCCTGTAAGGGCTAAAGCCCAAAGACAGAGATTCACGAATTTTAGAGGCTCAGAAACAGCTGGTAGGGTGAGTTATGCAGATCAAGAATTTTTGATTCAGTAAATCAATGGTGGAGCCAGAGAATTTGCATTTCAAATTAATTTCCAGTTGTTGCTGGTCGTAGCACCGCTCTGTAACCGATGTCTTGCTGTGTTTGGCTCAGCAATCCTGCTGGTTATTGCTCTCTTTATTCTACCCTCACCTATAGTTTAAAAAGAAAAGAAAAGAATGACGTGCTGTCTATACTTACTCTTCATCAATATCTTAAATATCCTTCTGCCCCCAAATTCTCTCCCTTGCGTGGTTCTGACTTTTGGAACTCTACTCTAATCCCTCATTCTGCAATTACCCTCATGCTATTGGCATGCAGGTCTCTCTCCTCTGATACTGTTCTTGAGTTTTGAATCAAACATATACAACCAATTAGATATGTATGTCTAGATGGACCACAGACCACAAACCACTTGAGCTTATATATGACCAAATACAGTTTATCTTATGTCCAAACAGTCTTAAGGAAACGAAAACCCACCATTTATCAAGACCAACATATAAATCTTGTGAATGTTCTTAGTGACAATTGTTTATTGTTCTTTACTGCTTCTTAGTGCCCGCACTCAATTAGCATATCTCATTTATTTTCCTTCCTAACAGTTTGACTTTATATCCATAATTTAGTACTTCATCTTGCACAGACACCTTTTCTTGATGTCTCCACTGCCTCCCTGTTCAACTTTGCTTCATCCGCTACTTTCAACAATACTGAGTTACTTTTAGTTCCCTAAAGACTTCATGCATTGTCCTTTCTCCCTGCAACAGTACTTATTTTAGAACATCTTTCATATTTTACCCCCAGAAGATGACTCACCTGTTACCTTCAGATAAAATCTGTTTTTTTCTCATGTGTACATCTGTGTGTCTGTGGGCGTGAGATCTCTGGCTGTTTTCTGCTGTTTGCAATTTTCAATTTATCTTTTTTTTTCTTTTGTTCCAGTGTTTCTTCCTTCTTCTTCTTTTTTTTTTTTTTTTTTTGACAGAGAGAGAAGTCTTCCACCTGCTGGTTCACTCCCCAGATGGCTGCGCGGCCAGAGCTATGCCGATCTGAAGCCAGGAGCCAGGAGCTTCTGGGTCTCCCTGGCGGATGCAGGGGCTCAAGGACTTGGGCCATCCTCCACTGCTATCCCAGGCCATAGCAGAGAGCTGGACTGGAAGAGGAGCAGCCAGGACTAGAACTGGCACCCATATGAGATGCCAGCGCTTCAGGCCAGGGCGTTAACCATTGTGCCACAGCGCCGGCCCCTAAAATTTCTTTTAAAATTAAGAAATCTAGGAAAATTTGGCTTGGTAGTTTTTTTAAATATAATTCCTTGGTTCTTGTTTTATCAGCATTTATCCTAATATCTTCTTGTTTCTAACTTGTTCCTGCACATGCTACACATTCAATGAATGGGCATGGAATGAAGGAAAAACATGACCGTAGATTACATCAGCAAATACTGTGTGAGTTGGGACACTTTGAGATAAGAATAAAACACAAAAAAAATCTTGATTTGATTTTAGTTGTAAGGTAATTTAAAAATAATTTGGATGTAAAAATAAAGACACATGTAATCATTGAAATATAATCATTGAGGGGCTTTACAAATGAAGGTCAAAGGGCCAGAACTGTGGTGCAGTTGGTTAAGCACCGACTTGGGACAGCTGCATCACACATCAGTGCTTGTTTGATTACTGGCTACTCAGTGCTTCCAATCTAGCTCTCTCTAGTTTGCCTAGGAAGCAACAAACAATGGCTGAAGTAGCTGAGTCCCTGTTACCCACATGGGAGACCAGGATGGAGTTCCTGCTCCTTGCTTTGACTCTGCTCAGTCCTGGCTCTTGCAGCCATCTGAGGTAGTGACCAGTGGATGGAAAATCTCTTTCTCTCTCTCTCCCTCTCTCTCTGTCACTCTTGCAAGTAAATAAATAAATCTTTAAAAATTAAATGTAAAAGATAGAGTGCTTTTACATCTTGCACATTTTGGTCTTTATCTGTGTATTGCCCTCCCCTCCCCAAATTATCAATTCAACATTTAATGGAAACGTTCTTTTTCTTTTGTTTACAGATTTATTTATTTATTTAAAAGGCATTTACAGAGAAAAGGAGAGACTGAGAGAAAGATCTTCCATCTGTTGGTTTAGTTCCCAAGTGGCCAAAACTGACAAAGCTGGGCTAACCTGAAAACAGGAGCCAGGAGCTTCTTCTGGGTCCCCCACGTGGGTGCAGGGGCCCAAGCATGTGAACCATGTTCTGATGCTTTCCCAGGAGCATTAGCAGGGAGTGGGATAGGAAGTGGAGCATCTGCATCTTGAAATGGTGCCTTATGGGATGCTGGCGTTGACAGGCAGTAGCATTGCTGGCTACACTACAGTGCCAGCCCTGGAAATATTATTTTTCTAACTAAAAGACTAAGTGATTTACTTTTCTGTTTTCCAGGTTGTTATGCACCAAATATTAAGTTTGATGTATCTAACTTGAAATTTTGTCAATGTGCCAGAGAAGCCTTAAAAAAGTTTGGAAATTGATCATAATTCTAGAATTCTCTGAATTTCTAGGGTCTTGTATAAAAAAGAAAGCAGTATCAGATGTCACATAATTTGCTAAGGTGCTTTGGCCATGGCACTGGTAAATCAGATTTTTGGACACTTGGGGAAAGATGTGGAGTGTGTCTGTATGTATGAGTATTGGGAGACAGTCAATGGCTTGTATGCAAACATGCCAAGACTCATCTGTACATCTAAGACTTACATTGGTTTGGAACAGGCTTTCTCAAAAGCTAGTTGCTGTTCCTAAGCTTCTGCCTTAATACTAAGTTTATTTTGGCCATTTCCTATTGTGGCATATTGAAAGAGAATGGAAGTTTTGAGGAATTATGTTATTGACCACTGTTGTTTTAGGGAGTCAATACCTACTGTTACAGATGCCTTGCAACTTAAAATTGGGTCTTGTTTTAATAAATCTATTGTGAACTGAAAATAAGTAAGTCAAAACTGTAGTTAATACATGTGACCTACCAAACAACAGCTTCCTACCTTAAGTGCTCTTAACACTTGCATTAGCTTACAGTTCTATCTCAAGGCAGAAATCTAAAAGCATATTGCTAGCTCGGGAAAATTAAAAATTTGCAGTACCATTTCTTTGGAATGCTTATCACTTATGCAGCATGGTAAAGTAAAAACATAATAAGTTAAACTGTATTAAGTCAGAAATCATTTATAATTTTTTTCCTGAGTTTAGAACCAAATGAAAGATTATGCACAGAATTCAAGTTAATGAAAGTCAAAATATTATTATTGTTGTTTCCAGTGAAAGTTTTGGAGAAAACATATGTAGGTGCTTGGCATGTCATGTTTTAGTTACAGAGATTAACCAGTCACTGTGGTCTACCCTACTGTCCAATTACACACACACTCCCTATGGAACTTGCTGCCTAGAGTTGCAGAAAAATAGAGAATGCAAAAGGCCACAGAGGCACTGGAGAAGCGTTGTTGTGTACAGAGAGCTGATGCCAAAGAAAAATTAAAATGAGCCGAGACTAATTTTTCTCCCTTAAATACTTATTTGCAAAGTCATCTTTCTCCTCTGGAGAGAGTGACTGGCAATACTAGGGTGAGCAGACCATGTGATGTTAATTCTAGTCCCCCTCATTGAAACAAGAGTGTGAAATAGAGATTCCTGTGAAGTGCTCACATTTCTTTCTCTGTTTATAATTATAATTGAAGGTTTTTTTTTATTTGAAAGTATTATTTTGACTTTTGTTTCTTCATTTCAGAGCAGACGGCTCTCGACTTCCTAAACAGATGGACGGCAAAGACACTAGATGCTGTCGTCATAGGAGTAGAGTAAGAGAATGTTTTCCTTTGGCAACTTTGATTTTTACCTTCATCCAATAGAGGTTTTATTTTAAATCAAGTCAGATATGCTTCAAATATGATTTTAAAAAATTAGTTTGTTTCCTCATTACCATTGTGACATAGACTGCTCCTTGGAAGGGTCCAATAACCAATTATTCTCCCAGAAATGTGGGAATCTCCCAGTTATACCCAAAAGAGTTTTCTTGGAATAACTACTGCTCTAACTACATAAAATTCAAATGCTATAAGTCTCTAGTTGTGTAACACCTGGACAACAGAAAGTAAATTAATCATTATGCATTTGGGATATTGAGTCATATTTTGGCTGGTAAGAAAATGCTTAACTTAAGAATAATTCTTGTTTGGAATGATGTAGGTGATAAAGATTAGGACTAGCTGAGAATATTAAGCCATGCTTAAGAAAAGTGGTTTTATACTTGGATTTGTCTAGAATATACCAGAGTGTCTTAAGCTGGAACAGTAATTTCATATCCATACTAGTATACTTTGGATTTCTGAGATCTAGGATAAATTAGGATATCTGCCATCCTCTGGAAGAATATTTTCTTCTACATTTTTCTACTCCATAAAAATAACAATAATTACAAAAATATTACAGATTTCTGATACAAAAAATTTTATAAGATTTAGCGGTTTTGGTTCTATTTATTTATGTATTTTTTAACTTGGAAGTTATAGAAGGTTAAAAAGAGTTAAGATTTAATCACTTAAATAGAATGTTTGCTTTTATATTCATTATACTTTTATCAGAAGGGCACCTAAAAGAACTTCAACCTTTTATCATTATCACCATTGTGTATTTTAATTTTACCTGTTTTAATACAGTGATACAATTTTTCCTGCCTTATATAGTATGAATCCTTACAAATTTTGTTGATATTTATTCCTAAAATACCTTAAATATGGTGCATTTCAAGTAATGCACACAACATATCTAATGTTCCAGATACATCTATATATGTTTTACATTTTATTTAGAACTTTCTAGATACAATTTATCATAGAATTCTTTTTTTTTTTTTTTTTTTTTTGACAGGCAGAGTGGACAGTGAGAGAGAGAGAGACAAAGAGAAAGGTCTTCCTTTTTGCCCTATTTATTTATTTATTTATGCCCTATTTATTTATTTATTTATTTATTTTGACAGGCAGATTGGACAGTGAGAGAGAGAGACAGAGAAAAAGGTCTTCCTTTGCCGTTGGTTCACCCTCCAATGGCCGCCACAGCCAGCGGGCTGTGGCCGGCGCACCGCGCTGATCCGATGGCAGGAGCCAGGTACTTATCCTGGTCTCCCATGGGGTGCAGGGCCCAAGGACTTGGGCCATCCTCCACTGCACTCCCTGGCCAGAGCAGAGAGCTGGCCTGGAAGAGGGGCAATTGGGACAGAATCCAGCGCCCCGACCAGGACTAGAACCCGGTGTGCCGGCACTGCAAGGCAGAGGATTAGCCTATTGAGCCACGGCGCCGGCCTATCATAGAATTCTAAGAACTCTATAGCCAATATTTAATATCAAGTATAAATATTAATAGATTTTATCACCCTGAAGAAAATAATACTTCAGCTCTGAGAACAGGCTAACAGAGTACAATTCTGGCTTTACTGACCCACATATATTAGGGAAATATCCATTAAAAATAATTGGATATAACTTGCTTTAAAAATTCATTGAACAGAAACCGGCAAAATCCCTAGGCTATTTTAGTGTTATTTGCATTTCAATATTTTAATTTAGATTTCAATTATTCAATTATTCATGTATGTGTTGCCATCTTGTAGAATTTTTATCTTAATGTCTTTGAAATATAGTACATTTGGCTAGAATATACACTGAGATCTGTTGCCTTTAAGCAAATTCTTGATACTTTTTAAAAAATTGATTTCCAAAATGCTTGGATCACCTGTTATACTGAGAACATGATGTAAGTTATAGAACATCTCCAATCCAAAATGCGCTTGGCCTAGGTTTTTGCTTACAATACCCAGGGAGATCATACCACTCCCATGAATCTGCTTACACAACACCATTCATGGACTTTAGGTACAAGACTGAAAAACATGTTTCACTTTCAATTCAATATTTTAAGCAAGTAATATTAGTAGAAAATTCATACTTTGTTTTAAAGCGATTGAACAATAAGTGTTAAATTGCATTTATTTGGTCACTGAGCACCGTTTGAACAGATGCAAACCTAATGTTTCATTGTTCTTTTTTGAAGCTATAGACTAGCTCCTCAACACCACTTTCCAGCACAGTTTGAAGACTGCCTAACTGTAGTCAAGTATTTTCTTCAGGATAAAATTCTTACAAAATATAGAGTGGATCCTACCCGAATCTGTATTTCAGGAGACAGTTCTGGAGGTGCGTTAACAGCAGCAGTGACTCAAAAGGTACATTATTTTTGTGTTCAGCAAAGGAGGTAGAGGTTGAGGCTCATTTCTCATTTCCACACAGATATCTAGTTCTTATGGCGCCAGTAGTTAAAGACCATCCTTGCCCATTGAATTACCATGGTACTTTGTAGAAATTCTATTGACCATAATCTTTTTCTGAATGTTCCTTTTCCATTGACCTGTATGCTTATCTTATGCCAATACTATGCTGGATTCAACTGTTTTTTAACTTATTTATTTTTATTAGTATAGAGCGAACAGATTTCATGTATTTTATAATTACAATTCTAAGAAGATAACTCTACTCCCCTCTCTCCCATTCTACCTTCCTCAATCTCCTGCCTTTCTTCCTTTATTTTTTTCTTTAATATTTGCAAAGATACTTCAGTCCACTCTATAACCAAAGGCTTAATTCACCATTAACCATAATATTCAACAAGTTAAAAAATGGGAAGACCATGGTTCCACAGGAATATAAACAAGGGATAAAAATAACAATCATATCACAAGATGTTGTTTTATAATTTTTAAATAACCTATATTAGCTATCACATATCAGAGAAAACATGATATTTGAATTTTTAGATTGAGAGGCTAATTTCACTAAATATAATGGTTTCTGGTTGCATCCATTTTGTTTCAAAAGAAAGGATTCCACTCTTTTTTATGGATGAGTAGTATTCCATAGGGTATATATTTATCACATTTTCTTTACCAGTCACCCATCGATGGACAATTGGGTTGATTTCATATCTTAGCTATTGTGAATTGAGCTAAAAAAATGGGCGTACAAATAACTCTTTCATATACTGATTTTATTTCATTGGGGTAAATTCCCAGGAGTGGGATGGCTGGGTCATATAGTAGATCTACTTTTAGATTTCTGAGGAATCTTCATACTGTCTTTGGTAATGGTTGTACTAGTTTACATTTATACCAATAGTGCATTAGGGTACCTTTTTCCATGCATCCTTATCAGTATTTATTTTTTGGTTTTTGGATGATGGCCATTTTAACTGGGGTGAGGTGAAACATCATTGTGGTTTTTATTTTCACTTCCCTGATGATTAGTGACCCTGAGTAATTTTTTATGTCTGTTGGTAAGAATGTAAAAGATCTCTATAATGAAAATTATAAAACATTAAAGAAATAAATAGAAAACACACACAATAATGGAAAAATCTTCCATGTTCATGGATTCTAAGAATGGATACCATCAAAATGTTGACACTATTTTATCTATGCAAAACGTCCATACAAAATGATTTAAAGATTCAATGTGATCCCAATCAAAATACTGAGGATACTCTGCTCAGACTTAGAAAAAGTGATGCTAAAATTGATGAGAGACCTTAATAGATGAAGCAACCTTAAAAACAAAGACAAAACTGGAGGCATCATAATACCAAATTTCAAGATATTTCACAAGGCAGTTATAATCAAAACATTCTGGTACTGGCATAAAAATTGATATGTAGACCATTGGAATGGAATAGAAAACCAAGAAATTAATCCCCTCAACTACAACCAACTGATTATTTGACAGACAAGCTAAAATCAGTCCCTAGAGAAAGGACAATGTCTTCAACAAATGGCACTGGGAAAATTTTATCTATGCATGCAGAAGTATGAAATAAAACCCTGACCTTACACAGTATGCAAAAATCAACTCAAAATGGATCCAAGAATTAAAGATGTAAATCTACAATCTGATATCATCAAATTACTAGAAAAGAACTTTGGGTATACTCTGCAAGACATTGGCGTAGGCAAAGACTTCTTGGAAAAAAACCCAGAAGAACAGTCAATAAAAACAAAAATAGTCAAATAAGATTATGTTAAGCTAACATTATTCTGCTCTGTAAAGGAAACACTCAACAAAGTCATAACTGATAGAACAGCAGAAAATATTTGCAAACTATGTGATGGATAAAGCACTCTGGCCTCAGAATCAGCCCTTAAGGCACTCAAATCTGGGTAAAAAGCTCATGAGAGTTCCTCAGGCATAGAAAGCCAAGACACTGTGGCAAATAAAAATGACCTAAATGAAAGATCTCTGTGAGTCAGATCCCAGACGAAAGAATGGGCCATCAAAGAAGGAGGTATCTTTCTCTGAAGGGAGGAGAAAACTTCCACTTTGACTATGGCCTTGTCTGAATAAGGTTGGAGTTTGTGAACTCAAGAGCCTTCCATTGCCTTGGCAGCTCAGGATAAGAGCCTCAGGTGAATACTAATGTCATAAATAAGAGTGTTAATTAAATCAACAATGGGAGTCACTGTACGCTTGCTCCCCATGTAGGATCTCTGTCTTTAATGTGTTGTACTATGCAAATTAATGGTAAAACTACTACTCAAACAGTACTTTATACTTTGTGTATCTGTGTGGGTGCAAACTGTTGAAATCTTTACTTAGTATATACCAAGTTGAACTTCTGTATATAAAGATAATTGAAAATGAAAAAAATTAATAATCCAGGACCTATAAAGAACTCAAAAAATTGAACAACAACAACAAAGCCAATCCAGTTAAGAAATGGGCAAAAAAGGGGCTGGCTCTGTGGTGCAGTGGTTTAAAGCCCTGGCCTGCAGTGCCAGCATCCCATATGGGTACCTGTTTGAGTCCCAGCTGCTCCACTTCTGATCCAGCTCCATGCTAATGTGCCTGGGAAAGCAGAGGAAGATGGCCCAAGTCTTTGGGCTCATAAGCCACATGGGAGACCCAGAAAAATCTCCTGTCTCCTAGTTTAAGATCGGCTCAGCTCTGGCCATTGCAGCCATTTGGTGAGCAAACCAGTAGGTAGAAGACCTCTCTCTCTCTTTCTGTGTGTGTGTGTGTGTGTGTGTGTTTGTGTGTGTCTACCTCTCTCTGTAACTCTGTCAAAAAATAAAAATAAGTCTTTAAAAATTAAAGAAATGAACAAAAATTTTTCAAATGATGAAATTCAAATGGACTACAGACACATGAAAAACCACTCAGGATAACATGCTCCACTGTATTTTTTATTTGACATTGAAATCTTCATTTCTAATATTTCAGTTTGAATTCTCCTCACAATCTCAGTCTCATGGATGATTTTTCTTTGATGTCGTGTGTGGATTTCTTTTAAAAAAGATTTATTTATTTATTTGAAAGTCTGAGTTACACAGAGAGAAGGAGAGCCAGAGAGAGATAGAGGTTCTTCCATCTGCTGATTCACTGCCCAGATGGCCACAACTCTGCTTCTTCTGGGTCTCCCACGTGGATTCAGGGGTCCAAGGACTTAGGCCATCTTCTACTGCTTTCCTAGGCCATAGCAGAAAGCTGGACTGGAAGTGGAGCAGCTGAGACATGAACCAGTGCCCATATGGGATGTCGGCACTGCAGGTGGCAGCTTTACCTGCTATGCCACAGCGCTGGCCCCATATGGATTTTTTTAACTCAGGAATTTGCTTCTCATTGCTTCTGAGTAATCCTATCATTAATCTTTTGAATTCCTTTTTAGGCATTTCATCCATCTCTTTGTCTTCACATTCTAATATTGTATTGTTGCTGTGTTCCTTTGTGGGAGTCATATTGTCTTCCTTATTCTTGTTTCTTGAGTTTCTGTGTTTATTTTTAGGCATTTGTGGAAGTTCTTTCTGTTTTTCTCCTCCAATGGCTTTTTTCCTTTGAACTATGCCTCTGTGACTTAGTTTAGTGTCTGCTGTTTCAGTGAGTACCCAGAGGCATGTGCTGGGTGTGGCCAGGGAGTTCTTATCAGTGCTCCAGAGTGGGGTGAGTATCCAGGCTGGTACCCAAGTTGCATGTGGTAGGTCACCTCTATTGTCAGCAGGGAAGAAGATATGATCTCCTCTGTTGATATAATCACACCCTCACCTCCTCTCTTCCAAGGTGATCAATGCCCTGGGTTAGCCCCCAGTGGATGCAACACTCACCCGTGCTGTCACATGAAGGATATTTGCAGTCCTTGTGTGAATGTGGATCCTGCTACAGTGACCCACCTCAGACAGGGAGCTCTGAGTGTGTGGACCTGGTTGCCCAGTGACCTATCTATACTCTATGCCCTATGATGCAATCACAGAGTTCCCACAGTCTCAACACACAAAACTCCCACAATGACAGGGTGGAGAGGCACCCACTAGCCCACCCCATCCTCTGAGAGGCAGACATTCCCAGAGCCAGCTGCCTGTGTATGCTCTGCCTTGGCAGTTTAAGCCCTAGAACCTGTGATATGTTGAGAAGCAGAGGGCACCTCACAATCCTACATGAGTGCCCACCCCCAGTAAATCCTCCCAGCCTGACTCTCAGTGTGGAACACCAGTTTTCCCCTCTGGTAAAATCCCTGGGTCACACACATGTACCTGACCTGCTGCAGCTACTAGTGGTGTCAAGATGGCACCTTGGCCCCGCCAGTAGCTGGGTGCACACACATGAACATCTATTGCCATTACTGATGTCAAAGTGGTGCCCTCTCACAGCCAGTCCCCAGATGCCATTTGTGGGGGGGATGAGGAGAAAGAAACATACTCTTTTTTTGCTGGGTTAGGTGGTACACTGTCCTCTTAAGGGTTCCAGGCCGGACTCAAAGATGGCATACTCCACTAGGCAAGCTCTCCAGCTACATTGCCAGTGGCATGGGCTACTTCAGGCTGCTCTCACTTTGCTTTACAAAGGTGGCACTTCCTCTGGCTAGTTGCTGCATATCCAGACCATCCACGCTGATCCATGGCATTTCTCTTCCCTCTGTAAAATTTCCACTGCAGATTTCTCTCCAACTCTCCCCTGGGAATGCACTCTCTTCACTTTTTAGTTATTGTTTCCCCTCGCCTAAAGCAGTATGTCCTTTCCCTATTCCATCATCCTGGAATCCCAGAGTAGGATCACAGCATAAGTAATTAAGCTAGACTTTTTAGGAACTTCATCAGTTTTTCTACTATGGTACCTTTTGGGTTCCAATCTAGATTTTCATGTTGCATCTAGTTGTCATATCTCACTAGTCTCCTTTAATTTGTGACAG